GATAGTCCGCCATTTGGTCTTTCATAAATGACAAAAAATTTTCATAGGCACCTCGTTGTTTTTGTAAAAATGCTTGAAGATTTCTGTCGATTCCTGTTGGAAAAATAAGCCATTCTTGAAAAAAATCAAAAGTCTTTTTCTTTTATTCTCAGTGCATAGTTTCTTGATCGCGCAAACCAAATTTCTCTGTCGATATTCATTCGATGTATTTTTCTTTTTTGTTTGAAAGAGCGCGTCAAGATGCAGTGCAGTATAGAGCGCATTTTTTTAAATTAAGCTTATTATTATTATATATAGACACTTATGTAACTCGACATCCATTTTTAAGGGTATTTTGAGTCATTGAACTTTCGGCCCCTTTTTTCCCTAAAAAAGTAAATATTTAAAAAAATGGGCTCTGTACTGCATTGCATCCTGACATGCTCTTTCAAACCAAAAAAAATTTTAACACATTACACGAATCTGGACTGAGAAATTTGGTTTGCCAAATGAGTTATTTTTTACCCTTGTTTGGTCAATATCTCGTTTAAACACCATGGTATAGGGCTAAAAATTTTACGATAGCTTTTCCACAACAGTCCCGACATATCCTGAAAATTTCGTGCCATTTGAACGTTCCTAGGCTGAGATCGATTTTTGAGGGGAGAGGACTTAAGTAATATGTTTGTCACAAAATGGTTGTTGACAACTGCCATTACATGTAATCACAGCATCCATTTTTCGGATCTTTAGCGCATAGATTTTTTGCTGGAATTAATAGCATATTTTATTTTTCTCTGAAAAGAACCGCTTTACTAAGCGAAGAGAGAATAAGAAACATTTATTCGAGAGAAAAAAACTTCGACAGTTAAAGACAGACGAGAAAAAAAATGTGCCTAGTAATTGGAATGAATATTGTTATAGGTATGCGATAGTATATCGCAACTACTGGTGCAATTATTAATTAATATGTATTAAACTCGACGTTTGAAGCTCGCATATGATTATTGGATGTATGTTTTTATTTTAGTTATTACATTTTCTTTACTCACAGTTTGTTATGATACGTATGAACGAACTGACGATGATATTCCATACAAAGTTAGCAAATTATAAAACAAGTCTATTGTTTATTTCTTTCAATTGTGTTAGCATACAACTCGTTTTGTTTTTCTCTGTTAACATAAGATTGATACATGAGCAAACTATTTTTAGTTTAAACGATTTTAGAAAAAAAAAGACAGCCATATTAATCATTTAGGACTCTGAAGCCAATAGGAAAGATGAAGAAAAATTACTGCATTCGGTAGAAAAACTGATGAACCTTGAATGTTTCTAAATTTGTTTGGTGGCTCCGAGGCGTTTCTCATCGAAAAGAACAGAAAATTGGTGACAAGTGAGTGGGAAAATCGGATCTGGACTTTCGTACTAGGCTTTTTATGACTTCTAGTAAAGTTCATGAACCAAAATCGTTTCGATCGAAAAACCAACTATATATTTCTTTCATAATATCATTAATATTTCTACTTTATCTATAATTCATTTAGCTGAAAACACATGAAATAATCAAGTCAAAATCGAGGGTGGATGTGAATTGGTGTGAGTCTTCGCCATCACAATATTCACACTCTCACCCACATCCTTTTATATTTCGTGACAAACATTACAGACTATATATAGGGCAGGAGATCGCACATCTTTAGGTAGCATCCATTGGATGATGGGATACATCTCATGAGATCCAATACATATGAGAAGATAACGGATAGAGAAAGAAGGAAAAAGACCAAACGTATGTGATGGAAAGAAATGAAAAAATCCAAATAAATATGACATGTGTACTATGTCATAGTTATCAGCTGTGTGTAAAAATAGAGTGAAAAACGAAAGGAAAGAAAGCACAAGTCAATCACACTATAGCACATTTCGATTTCTATATTTACTCTTTGACTTAACTGACTGTTAATCTATTTTATTTACCGATCTTAAAATTTATGAAAGAAGCTGTTTATTTGATAACTAATCATTTACGTAGTTTACAGATAGTTCAATACATTCGTCAATCATTCATTCAAAAAACTGATTTTATTATATTTTATCTTGCTGATTATATCATCTATTTTAATGATAACTAAAATCCATAACTTAAAATATTCATATTCTAAGATAATTCCGAATGTTCGTCACCGATATGACCGCATCGACATTATATTCGACTCATCTGAGAATAAAACAATCAAATCTTCTATTCCTCATTCTGAAAACAGCAAAGTTACAGCATTATATAATCTGAAATGTGACAATAGTCTTGATTCAGAATACCATTAATTAGTACACAAAAATCATGCTATTGTAGCTGCTCGTGTCGAGATATCGATTACATTAAGAAAAGATAATGATGCACGCGAAGATTACTTAGTAGTGTGTAATCATGTTGAAACTGATACTCGCATAGTATTACATGCATAAGCAATATCATTCGAAAACATAAGATCCATCGTGTTACAAACAAGTGATACAGACATTGTATTCTTAACAACATCCTACGGTTTATCATTAGTCGTTCAACACTCGAGCTAAATTAGATAAGTATGTCAACGTTCGTCAGATGACACTGGCATTGAAGGAATAATTACATAGCGACCTTTGTCAGGCCGTGGCACTGCTTCATTTATAAAAAATGTCTGAGAATCAAATGTCTGTCGAACTTTTCTCACCAACTGTCACCATTGTTCAAATTTGGTTCAAATGATGCCTTAACCATTATCTAGTAAGTGATTTAAATTATTCAATTTCAAAAAAGAGTAGCTAGAAAGATTTTGTTTCTCAGAATGATTAAAAATATAGTTGCTCATAAAAAGTTCTGTTCGACATGTAGAAATGAATAATGTAGACTTTGCTTCTGGTGATCAATGAATCTTGTAAAACAATCATAGTCAACCAGAGATTGATCACTTCATATGTTTGATGTTATTTTGATGGCACAAAAGAATATATCTGAGTTTCACATTTGAGTCCAGAAGGAACTGCACTGTTAGCCTTTTAGCATAGTTTTTAAAATTCAAAAAAGATGAGCTTCATGATTACATCGGAATACCACTACAAACAGCATGAAATGTCAGTATCGATTTATCAAAAAAAAAACACATATATTCATTCAAGATTTCTTGTATCGTTATAGCCGAACGATTATTAACCGATTGTCATTCATTATTGTACGATACCCTGTTGCTAGAATAGTCACATTAGCATTTAAAAGCAAGCAATCATTATTCACCACTTTTAGTCTTCTACCAACAAGCAATGCTTTTTATTATCATTGTCATCGAGTTACTCGTCAAGTTCAGGTTTGGTATGAGTCATATCGAGTCTTCTAAAGGGTATGAAACCAGACAAAAGAAAATTCAAGTAACATTGATGTCTATTAATCATCTGTTACATGATACTCATGTGTCGTCATAGGGTATATGCACAAACAATTCACAGCGTTGCTCGCGCATAAAAAAGATCTCATTCGCACTCGTCTTTGCAAATGTTCAGTCGAATGATGTCTAAATAGAAATATTACTGTAGTAAGTGTCTTTTGTTTAGTGAACATTAAGCATGTATTAATCAATTTTCTCGCTTGCAGAATTCAGAACATTTGTATCTCAATCCAAGACATGATATCAGTGATGATTTTGACGATGGTTGCGACCACTCACCATCACATCTAGTCTCATCTCAAACTATAACATCGATAGACGAAGAAGATGCAACGCTTGTCAATAACAACGGTGTACAATTATATACTGAACATAGTTATTCCAAAAGTTTCATGGAAGCAAATGCTACTCAAAGCTTCATCGAAGTTCAAAAAAAAAAGAAAATAATTGAAGAATGCAGTAAACATCGAGTTACTATTTTATATTGTATAGATCGGTATTCAACGAACACCAGAGCTTTTTTCTGAAAAAGTGGTATCTCTATTATTATTGGGGGAGGGGGAATATCTTTGCAAGTCTTCTGGCCAATCATTGTGACTATCTACAATGAGAACTAATCTATCCTTTTAGTAATATTTGTACACTGATATTTCTCTTTTCAATATATTTATTTAACTCATAATTAATTTTTGAATAGCTTCAACATATTTTTTTCTTCATGACCATATGATCCTTCAAAACTAATAAAAGCAAATAAATGCATGCCTAACAGAGCTGGTGTGACTATCGAAACTTTGGACGTTGGAAGTGGTATTTTTCGATATACAATCCTAGACAACATTTTTGGACGATTTTGTTTTGAGTATAATTATCTTATTAAGTTGAATTTTGATGAGCCACTCGCGTCAAAATTTCAGGCAACGTTTATATTACATCCGCAAAAAAGTTCATCTCTAAGTATTGTCGATGTGGGTTTCTTCTTTACTAACACTCAGACCCACATACCGACTCCTACACTCTCTAGTTTGAGTAGAATCGTCAGGAAAAAAATATTACTGAACTACATTAAATGAGAAGACATATTTACCTACAGGTTTTATTTTCACGAAGTGTGTTTCAAGCAGATGATGACGCCATCACAGTACATTCATATTGAGTTCGTCAGAACAATTTAATAGTATAAAAAATCTCTATTGTTGATGCATTTTACATGTAGCAAATTTCAGACTATGAAGATGAGTTTCGTCCCATGTGCATTAGTCAATATCGATTTCGACATTGATTGGTATTTCTTCCATTAGCTGATATGACCAGGTCGTGTACTAGTTCGGGTACACGAAGGGGTGAAACAAGTTGTACGTTATGATATTGGTTCTTATTTTGCTCTTTATTTTTTTTTAATCAACTAAATAAAATAGGCCGTACAAAAAATAGAACAAAAAAAATGATACTTTTGACAAATCTTAAATAAAAGACATGCATAAAGGTTCAGTATTAGTTTGAAATCTATCTAATTGAATATATTAGTAGAAAGAATGTATAGATTAAATATTGTTCATAGTGTTACATTATAAATCTATATAGGAAGTTTTAAATTTATGAAACTGGTAAATCTCGTATTCGAGATTTAATCTCATAGCCTATAGATTGATCTACTGTCGGTAAACGTCGACAAATAGATAATCCTTGTCTGTAATGTTGTAATGCTTGATTAAAATTAGATATTTGGGCATAAATATTGCCTATAATTAAATATGTATTAACTAATGATGCATCTCCGAAACTATTTTGTTGAAGTTGTTTATTAAGTAAGGTTTGAAAAAAAGACAATGCTTGATTAAAATCTTGCTTTTCCAAACAAATATTACCAAGAATAGTATAAATATCATCTAATGATTGATTATTAATTTGTTTAGTAATTAAGTTTTGGAAATAAAATAATGCTTGATCTAAATGACGTTTTTCAAGTAGAAAATTGTCTGTATGTGATTGGGTTGTCGTTTTTGATACTTTCATGGGTAAGTTTTTGTTAAATTTGTTTTTCATTAATTTCTTACTGTCATTTGAATGTAGATGAAAATATTTTTTTTTTAAATAAATCTTTCCAATCATAGTATAAGTGTCATCTATTGATGAATGTTTATTTGGTTTTTTTTGTAATTGACAGTCAATTAATTTATGATAATAAATCAATGATTGATTATAATTTTCTTGTTCAAAATAAATAGTTGCAATAGCTTTAAATATATTTTGTAATGATGAATCATGAATTTGTTTTCGTTCTAATTCATTATTTAATAAGAGAAGAAAATATTTTAATGCTTCATCGAAATTATCTTTTTCAAAAGAAATATTTGCTAAAATATTATATGTATCAACTAATAGTGGATCTTTTTCTGAATGTGTTTTAAGTTGTTTATGAAGATGTTTTTTAAAATAATGAAAAGATTGTTCCAAATGACGTTTTTCAAAAAAAATATTATCAATAATTTTATGTTTATCGGTTGATTTGTCATGTAATGGTTGATTATTGTTTTGTTTTTGGTAAAATACTAATGTTTGATCAAAACGACGTTTTTTTAAATAAACTTGTCCGATAAAAGTATAAATTTCATCAATAGTGGATTGATCAAATGATTCTTTTTGCAAATAACAATCAAGTAAACGATTATAATAAATTAATGATTGATCTAAAACACGTTTTTTATAATAAATATTTGCAATAGTTTTATAAACATGAGTTAATGAGAAATCTTCAGATAATTTTGTTATTAATTCATTATTAAGTAATTCAAGATAAAAATGTAAAGCATCATCTAAATTGAGTTTTTCTAAAAAAAAATCTCCAAGATTTTGATAAGCGTTGCTGATTGATTTATCACCTAATTTCGTTCTTTCTAATTGACTATCAAGTATTTTATGAAAATAAATTGATGCTTGATCATAATTTTGTTTTTCTCGATGGATATTTCCAATTGATCGATAAGTATCAACTACGGATGGATTACTCAACAATAATGTTTTTAATTGATTTTCTAATACTTTTTCATAATAAAATAAAGCTTTGTCTAAATCTCCTTTTTTCTTATATATATCAGCAAAATTTCTATAAGTATCTGCAAAATCAGGATGATTATTTGGTATTGATTCTAATTGTAATTGATGAGCTTTTTCAACATATTCTAAAGCTTTTTCATGATCATTTTTATCGAAAAACATTAATCCAATTGCATTATAAGTATAAGCAACATCTGGATGAGTATCTGGAAGTTCTTTTAATTGATATTCAATTGCTTTATCAAATATTTTTGAGGCTTTTTCAGATTCATTGATTGCAACATAAATCTTACCCATATTGATATATGTATTTGCAATTATTGAATATTCAGTTTCTGATTGATAATCAAGAGATTTTTTTAAATATTCTAATGCCATATGATAATTTGTCATTTTAAAATGAACATCTGATAAAGTAATATAAATTTTTGATAAATTTTTATTATTATCATTTTTTGATAAAGCTTTATCAAAAAATTGTAAAGCAACTACATAATTCGATTGATTAGCATAGATTGAACCTAAATCATTATAACATAATGATAGAAGTGAATGATTATCAAGTGATGAATTATTTAATAAATATTCTAATGCTTTATGAATATTTGATATAGCTAAATGATAATCCTCATTTTTACAATTAACTTGAGCAAGTCCATAATAACAATAAGCAAAGTCAATATCTTCTTTGACTAAATTTTGATCTAAAATTTTTTGAAAATGTTCTTGAGCAAGATCATATTTAAGCATGTGAACGAAATAGTTTCCAATTGCAACGAATTCATTTTGATCATTTAATTCTTGTTTTAATGATAATGAAAAATCTTTTATATCTGGATCATCTAATGAACATAATGTTAATTTAGCTATCCAAAGATTTATTTTATCATCACGAGATATATCATCAATACGAAAAACTGAACCCACCATAAAAAGAATTTCTTCTTCTTCTGGAAAAGCACTAAGACGTTTTATATCAGCATATGGTTTACTTAAATAATTCAAATTAACATCTATTTCTAATAATATTGATGTTAATTCATCATTAGGTGGTGATCGACTTGTTGCAAATTCTAAAGCTTTATTTCTATTTGTACTTGTTGATAAAAATGAATTCATTGAAATCAATCCTTGTTGACTAGATTTAAGACGATTAACTTCATCTTTACTAATAAATTGTCCTCGATAAACTTTTATATTTGATGTATTTTGTTGATTTATAAATAATTTATGTTCTTTACGTAATTGTTTATTTAAATCTCTAATAAATGATCCAAATGGTATAATATCATCAATATCTTGTGTTCTTAATGCTTTATTTAAAATTTTATAAATACAAGTTTCTCTTGTATACCAATAAATTGCTTTTTCTGATTTATATTCTTCATTAAATTCTTTCATTACTTGTATATCATTTGTATCATCAGGTTGAAAATATTCTACAAGATTATTTTCATTAAATTTTAATGCTTGTTTTTTATCGGAAATTTGTTCAAGTAATATTTGATAAAGAATAAATTCTCCATTTAATGATTTATGCATACTTTGATTATCTTTTGATGAATAAACATTTGTACCCATTCTATCAGCATTTCCATTTTGTTTATTTTCATTTTTTCGTCGTCGATTTGTATGCATTTTTTTTTAAATTATTTTCTTTATTTTAATTAACTAAAATTAAATTTAAAATATATTTTAACTATGTGAACAAATACAAATTATTTGAATCTTTTTCAACAAAAAGAAATTCTGCTAAATAATTCATAATAAAAAAAAATTAATTTTTCTTGAATATAATCAATGCTTTTGTATTTTAAATAAATTTTTTATTGAGTTTTTCGAGATTTTACTTAGTCAATCTTGAAAAATCTTTATTTCAACTTAAATTGAATTTGTTGCTTTAGACATTTTTATTCAGAAATGATTTACATTCGATTATCAATATTAATATTCTTATTTTATAGAATGTTAGTCTTACTTACAAATATCGATAAAAACAATGATTTATACAAGGGTCAGACATTAAAAATACTTTTCTCTCTTGTTTTACATTCCTATTATATAAAGATAATATGTCAAAGATAAATATTAGATTATGTTTTCGATATTCAATATATTCTAATGTATTTTTAATGTTAACATGGTAAGGTAGAAAAAGACGTTAATAGCAAGAACACTGTGTTTTTTTTTTTATAATGAGATTCATTGGTCTGAGTGAAGTTTTAACGAGCACATTTATCTTCTAACAAGTTTGAATAATAAAAAGATTGATTTCTAACTTATACTAACATGAAGATTCGAACATGTCAAATATATTTGACTTTTAATGCATAAATAAAAAATAAAGTAGTGAGATTGCTCTGTCAGATAAAATAGATACATACTTAATTAGATGTTTGTATTTTTATTCTAGACTCAAACAAAATAATTCGAATACGAACTAATTATTTTATGCGTACATTTGTTTCTCTTTTGAGAAAAATACTTTGAGAACACACTACTGAAAAATTTCAATGAAAAAAAGAAACATAATGAGCATATTGAAAAATAAATTTTTTTCGATTTAACAAAAGCTTGTTAGCACAGCTTTTTGCGGCTGAAATTTGAATCTTACGTTTGTTTCTTAGTCTCATTAAGCTAATACAAAAAAAAAATATCAAGTAAAAAAACCTTTGATAGCCCGTAATTCGTTTCCAAGATAACCGATCATTTATATATGCAAAACTCAAACACTACAATATTCTAGAACACTTTAAGACAAATTGTTCAAGGCTGTTTTTCGTTGCTCAGCAACTCTTAGCAATGAATCTGATGTCGATTGTCCCAAGTTGCTTGAGGAATGAAGGGAAAGCCGGAAAACTTCAACTTACTATTTTCTTCGAAAATATACGTCAGTTCTACAAAATAATAATAATAATTAAATGAGATCTTATTTCAATATGATATCAAAATTAAAATTAATAATTTAATTGTGTTTGAATGTGACTTTTAGAAAAAAGAAACAATATGAACTAATCGACATAGAAATCAAACGAAGAGAATTTATTCTTATTCTAACTGTAATTATAACGAAATACTATATATTTATTTATGTCAAAGTTATTCTCTTCATTATTTAAAGTTAATTATTATTAGAAATATTTCGAAATAAAATAAAATGTAATCTATTTTTTTCATTAACTAGTTATTTAATTTATCGAATAAATGAATAATATAATTTTGTGAATAGATCGAAAAATGTTCCTATTTTTGTTTCTTTTTTTGGTAAAATATTTTAAATCTAGTACAAAGAAAAATAGTTACCTTGAAAACGTCCAATGAGATAGATGTTTCAATGTCACAGATTTTGTCATTAGTTAATTTAAATGACGCTTTTCTTTTTATTTATGATATAAAACAAACAACTGTAGCGCATCATTGATTTTCAATCATATAGACAAGGTTATTTACACGGACAAGGTACATACCATTTTAGTACACATAAATAAATGATACCTGACTGTTTTTTCTCTCGTTAAATTTAGCTTGTAACCTATAGTTAATGATCTTGTTAATTATGATAATAATGTTTTTTGTCAAAGGTCTTCGAATTTTTTCAGAATAGAAGGAAAAAATCAATTCTTTTTTTTACAAAGACAATAAATTAATTATATGCTCAATATTTTTTTTTGTAAACATTCTGTATAATTTATTGCTTTGTAGTTTATAAAAATTATTTTCTAAAAGTAAAATAATGATTGGAGTTTATTTAAATATTATATTCATATAAAATAAAACAATACGTCTTTTTTTGTATGATATTCGATTTGATTATCTTATTTAGAAACTTGATTTTAACATTGCAAAAAAAAACTCACATTCATTAATAAAAACAAAACGACTTTTTTTTTCTTTCGATAAAACATTATTTGAATATTTGATAAACGAACTAAATATGAATATCTAAAATACATAGGGAACGCCAAAATTTTTATTGTATACATTTCCTAAAATATATGATCATCTCTTTATTTATGCACGCGTTTGAGACATTTAGTAAAGATTTCATATATGAATTTCAATTTTTATGAAAATCATTTTCAAACTATGATTTTGCATGACTAGTCAATTGGTTTAATTTATAATGAAAATTATACTCGTGTAATATATGGCTTATTTAGATCATTCCTGATTTTTTTTTTAACTGAGCAAAGTTGTAATGCTATTGCAACAATAATTTCAGATGGTTCTCATTAACCATAGAAATAAATAGATGACATGTGGAACATCATTTCATCAGTGATTATTTTAATTATTCTTGCCTGTTTTAGACTTAAGAAAGTCTCGTGCTGGATGAGTTTATTATCAACCTATCAGTGATGTGACAAAGGTTTCATATTCAATCAGCTTCTTATTTACGGAAAAGATTTCGAGAAACTTATCGCCGCATTGTATTCTAGATTATCGCTAGTCATAGCTCATAGTTTTATTATAATGATCGAAATATAATGGGCTAGTCGAAGGTTAAATCATTACAAAATTATTGACGAACAGCTAAGGATCTTTGAAACTATAGGGCAGACAAACAAATTGCTGCATATTTTTCCTTCAAATCTGGTTGAATCAAGTTTGTGCCATTAGAATCTAGTATATAGAAGTGAGACTGTCAATAACTACGTAGCACAAGTTTTCAAGGATGTGAATGGGTGATAGTGTGAGTGTAGTTCATCTTTTCATCCACACCCGTACTCACACCCTTCATTTCTCATGTGATATAGTATGATAGAATGAATCTCGTTTTCTTTTTTCGACGAGAGTAGAGTAGATGAATGGAACTATAGTGAGAAATATTCATTTGTCATGTGGCCTTTGACAATCTGATGAATCTCATTGTCTTTCTTTCGAATGGCGCACACTAGGTAAAGAAAATAAACTTGATAATCGACACAAAGATTCTCTTTTTGTCGAACATTTTTCTATTTTTGTTGTCATTTAAAGCAGAAATAAAGACACTCCTTAAAGTTCACAGAAAATTTATATATGATAGAGATAGTATGGCTTTTGTAGAACGAAAACTATATTGAATATGAAGGTTAGTTAAAGAATTACATGCCAAGACTGGTGTGGGTGTGCTCTTCACCAACTTAATCATCTCACTCCCACATCTACATCCCTCGAGATCATACACTTGTTTTTATCATCTAAGAGAAAAAGTGAAAAACTCGATTACTTGTTTTCTGCACAATCGAAAGAGAAAAGAAATGAATGTAATGCTCATCACCAAAAATGAGATCACCGATTTTTTTCCGATGATCTTTATCAGATACATTCTTTCCGCGATCATTATTTTCGTTCACTCATTCGATACGAATCGCATACAGAAAACGGCTATTTAACTATGTCATAAACATCATGAATTGCAACCGAATTTTGTGATAGACTCCCAGCTTGTCTCAGTTTCTGACCTGATTCCTAACTTAAGTCAGTTTTTTGGCATTTTAGTACTTCTGTCGTACAGAGATTCATCCCACTTATGCTCACTTCCTTGTGTTTATCTGCATTAAGTTTTGATGGCTTTTTGGATCAGGGCGCAACCAGTAAATGTCCTCTCAGCAACGATGTCTTCTGTAGTATATGCTTTATTGACTACTTTTTTGCACAGCATGAAGGGTAACACTATGCCATACAAAGTGCACTAACAATCAACGATCATGCAGCAATGCTTCAGAAATAATCGAGTTAATTTTGTAACTCTTAGAACCTAGAAATTGTAAAATTGGCATTATAACTCTTGCTAAAGCTCTCGTTGTTGATAGACGCTTCACAAAAAAATTAAGGGCCAGGATATTATTCTATAGAGAAACGTTTACTCTTCCATTTGATATTTTAAAATAAATTTTTATTCGACTCTAGACGGTTTTACTACCCTAAAACCGTTCAAACATTATTTTCAAACCTTTTAAATACTAACTTATAACTGCTAACCTACGATTCACGAACATATTTCGAACTTAGGTCTGTAAAGAATAAATAATTCTGATGCTAGCTCAAAGTTTTAAAATTTCTGTTTGTCCTCTCAATCGGTTGAAAAATGAAGGAACATGGTATCTGAAGACTATCGATCCACCTATTATTAATGAAAATAATGTGTTCAGAAAATTTTTTTTAAATATATGACGAGTATGAAGTTCCATGGGATGGAACGGTTTGAGGTAGCTCATCCCATGGGACGAGTTTTTCGTCCCATCCCATCCGACACGAAGCCCTGGTATGTTGTGTAGAGAATTCAAATGCATGTAGACAAGGCAGATGGCGTGCTCTACAAACTGAGGAGAAAAGTTGTTGCTTATTACAACTTATCAAGACATAGATTAAACATGGGTCTCGCTGATCTTGGTCGACGTCTTTCATCAGCAATAAGAAATTTAAGTATTGCAACGATTATCGGTGAACAAGTTTTACATGAAGTTTCGGGATAAATTTGTCGAGCTTTATTAGAAGCTGATGTTAATGTTGGTTTAGTTAAACAATTACGTGAAAATGTCAAACAAGCAATAAATTTAGAAGAAATAGGTGTTGGTTTTAATCGAGATCGATTAATTCAATTTGCTGTTGTTAAAGAACTTATTCGACTTATTGATCCTGAAGTTAAAGCATGGCAGCCAGTTAAAAATAAATCTAATATTGTTATGTTTGTTAGTTTATAAGATAGTGGAAAACCAACAGCATGTACGAAATAGGCTTATCATTATACGAGACGTTGTTGGAAAACAGCATTAGTTTGTACTGACACATTTCGTGCTGGTGCATTTGATCAATTGAAACAAAATACAACTAAAGCACAATATACCATTTTATGGCAATTATACAGAAAGTGATCCATTAGTCATTGCTATGGACGATGTTGAAACATTTCGTAAAGATAATTTTGAATTAATTGTTGTTGATATAAGTGGCCGACATGCACCAGATGGATTGTTATTCGAAGAAATGCTTTAAATTTTAAATAGAATTCAACCAGATAATACCATTTTTGTTATGGATGCTAGTATTGGTCGAGCTTGTGACTTGCAGACAAAAGCTTTTAAATTCAAAAGTTGATGTCGGTTCAGTTATTGTTACAAAACTTGATAGTAATGCTAAAGATGGTGGAGCTTTAAGTACTGTTGCTGCAACGGAATATCCAATTATATTTATTAATACTGGCGAACATATTGATGATTTTGAAGTATTTCAAACGAAATGATTTATTAGTAAATTATTGGGTACGATTGATATGCAAAGTTTAATTAGCAAAGTCAATGATCTGAAATTAGGAAATAATAAAGAATTATTTACAAAATTAAAACATGGTCAATTTACATTAAGGAATATGTATGAACAATTTCAAAATATCATGAAAATGGGTCCATTTGGACAAATAATGAGTCTGATTTTTGGATTTAGTACAGAATTTATACTAAAAAATAGCGAACAAGAATCACAAGTACGTTTGAAAAAAATGATGTGTATTATGGACAGTATGGATGATAATGAGCGTGATCATCCTGATGGAACAAAATTATTCAAGAAGTAATCTGGTCGTTACTCCCTAGTGGTTCATAGCGCTGGTGTTTCAATTCGAGATGTACAAAATTTAATAACATAATATTCAAAATTTTCACAGATGATAAAACAAATGACTGGTGTTAAAGGTTTATCTAAATCAGGAGATATGACAAAAAATGTTAATTCGATACAAGTGCAAAAATTAGATAGTCAAATGAATAAGCTAATTAATCCAAGAATTTTATATCAAATCAGTGGTACATCCGGCTTAGCATTGATGATGCAACAATTTCAACAAGATAGTGAATCAGATGGACTTAATAAATTGTTTAGTTGTGATACATAATTCCCATTCGAACGATACAGAAGGAAATATACATATCTCAACTATTTTTCTTCCTCTTTCTGTCATAGCTAATTTAAAAAACCTGAGAATTTTTATCTCTATTTATTTATTTTGTGTCTGTGTTTCAATTCTTTAGTTGATACAGTTTTTTTGCTTTGTATCTCTTTTATTTTCGATTGCAACGTATAAACCTCAGAAGACAAAAAAAGCACTTCATTAAAAACACGGTATGATACTGTTAGCTCGCTTCGACGAGCTTAACTTTGTTTATTTATTTCATATGTTAAATCTCTTCAAAATGTCCTTAAAATCACTAGGTATATATACATTCATAGAGAGGAGAAGAAGAACAAGAGAGAAAGAAGGAGAAACAACAATAACAATAACAATACAGTAGAAAGAAGAAGGGAGAGAAAAAGAGATAGAGAATCGAGGGTAGGCAGAATGTGAGTCACCGTTAACAGATACCAACAACATGCACGTTGATGGTCAGATTGATCTGCCTCAGTAACATTTCCCAAAGAAATGAAAGTGATGCGTTTCCTATTGCAGAGAAATGGGATGATCTAAATTTTGCATTCAATTTTGATTGTCTAGGAGTCACATCGTGTGGTCAATTATTTCATGCCTCTAACGAGTAAGGTGCTGACACTCATTATATTATGATTATGTGATTTGTTCTGATAGAAATATCATCATACGTAGAAAAATTACGAAATTTGTCATTTCTTTCATCGAATAACATCACAGTCAAATATGCCAAAGACAGAATTTCATGGCATACATTCCTTTAGTAAAGTAAAACTGTATTATGCGGAGATATCAAATTGTTTCTAATCTGCATGAAATAAACTCTTCCTCTTTCTCGTATTACTGTTCTTTCCTACTTCATTGAATATATTACTGAAAAAAATTAATCGACCAACGATATCCAACTTGATAAATATAAGATTAAGAACACTTTGATTAAACACTGACTGTGGTAATTGGTAAGTGCATTCGACAACTGGGTAAAAGAAATTATTTAATTGTATTATGCTTTTCTTGTAATCGATGAGTAAAACGAAGTCGAAGAGTGAACAAGAATAGAATTCTCGACTTTCTTTCTGTACGTCAATGAAGTTATTCATTCGTTTCTGAAATATTCCCTTTACTGAAAAGAGAGTCATACGCTGAGGACGTGGGTGTAAGGTTTTTTGCGGAGACTCCATGCAAGCCTTCTCTTCACTCGCAACCACATCCATATCCACCCATACATCCTCACCCATTTACCTAAGCCACATCCCCTTCCCACACCCTCATTCGAATTGATGCGTTATTATCTTTTTTTTCCTCCTATTATGGCCAATTATTTACATCTGAAAAATAACATTGAAGACACACACACATGCAATGGGAAACAAACAAAGCATAAACCTGTGTGAATAAAAACAACATTCTTCTTACAACACGTTGCGACAGTAAAGCAGACGTCATTATGATTAATAAACGTTGAGAAATCACCAAGTCTTATTTTGCAACTTTAGTAAAAATTATTAATCTATACAACATGAAAAAGAGCCCACTGGTAACAATGTCTATAAATTGTATTGCATTTATCTTCCATAGTGATCGTAACTTTTTCTACCATTTCACAGATACGCATCGTAAAAGGTACGTGTATTTTCTTATGTTTTTTTTGCCATGTGAGACACGACATTTGCGTAAAACAGCACAAAACCTTTTTCTTTCGTCCTTTTTTTCTTTCATAAGGTATGCTACGAAAGTTTCTTTTCGTCATGATTTGAAGAATGCAAAATCAGAGTAGACTGGTTAAAATGTGTAATGAAAACTTCACTATGGTATTAATACAGTTCCTTCTTCAATCTTGAGAAAGACACTTCCTTTGTTGACCAAAAGTGCGGTAGAAAGAGTAACTTTTGTAGACTTTGCTGTTCTCTTCATATTTGGATATAATTAAATAAGGATATAGATGTATGAGTGTTCTCCAAATCTACACCCACATTCTTTTTGTTCTGTTATGTCCATTCAGTAAGTTAGCACAAAATCGAAAATAGTATGCATAAAGAAAGAAAAATAATTTGACGTCTCAACTTTTGACTTTAAGTTCATTCTTAAGAAACAACGTGGCTCTTACTTATCATCATCTAATTTGTGGTAGCTACTGTCAGTTTATCAGTTAGACGTAAAAGCGAAGTGATTTCCGACAAAATAATGTATACATTCGAGCTTTAGATATACATTATGTTATTGTGCCTCGCACACATATCATTTTTAAGTGTGGGTGGGTGTGGGTGGGTGTGGGTGCGGGTGTGGGTGTGGGGTGTGGGTGGTGTGGGTGTGGGTGGGTGTGTGGGTGTAGGTGTGGGTGTGGGGTGTGGGTGTGGGGTGTGGGTGTGGGTGAGGGTGTGGGTGTGTGGGTGGGTGTGAGTGTGTGGGTGGGTGTGGGTTGTGTTTATGAATTTAGTAGTCCATTGCATCCACACTCCCACCCCTACCCTCACACACACCCACGCACACCAAACTCACACACCCACCCGCCCACACCCACACCCCACACCCACCTACACCCACACCTACCCACACCCACACCCACACCCACACCCACTTACACCCACACCCTTCTCAAAACATGATGTAATAATAACTTTGAAAAGACTTACTGAAAAAACCTAGACTTTTATAACTATTTTGACTGATTGTTGAAATTTAATTGATTTACAGTGACAAAGAAGAATAACAAGTTTAATTAGAAATCGAAATACGACCCAAAAATATGAACAATTATCTACATTTGAAATGCATTATAATGACTCATAATCATGAAATTTCATTCCGATTTTGTTGGAAGTTTCTTCATTCTGCTTACTGTTCATCGAATTTCGTTCAGGATTTTTCCAAACAAATACTTCGCAAAAGTAGTTGGATATTACCAATAAAAATAAAGTTCATTTTCGTTGGGAACTTTTAGCGAAATCAATGAAATCAACTTTCAATGGCAACCTATATAAACAGTATTTTCAATTCTTTACTTACGAAGGTAGTGTGAAGTGAAGTGTCAGCATAAATGTGGATGTGAACATGAACGAAATAAGACCGGCACCCACGCTCTTGTATTTTTATCACCTTATAGACAATATTGGATTTGTTTGTCTCATAGTTCAAAAAAAAAATGAGAATCCATTTTAGTTTTCGATATATTACTGATTGGCTGCAATGGATGCTAGCAATAAGAATATTCTGGATCCCAAATTTATTTGCTGTGTTTGCTCACTTATACTATGTGATCCAGTTCAATTTAATACGTGTGGACATCGATTATGTTCATCTTGCTTTGATACTCTTAATCAGTAAGTTTCTTTGTTAATAAAAATTATTTTACTAAAGTATTGTTTTTCAAAGAAATGTAATCAAATGTCCGCAATGTCACATAGAAACACCACGAAATCAAGTAACAGATCGCTTTTTTTTCAATGGACTGGAATATCTAATATGGAAGTTTTTCTAGGCAATGCTTGATCGAGGTTTCAGAAATGATATGCAATCATTAGCTATCATATGTTCTCAATGTAGTTGGACTGGTATCTTAAAAAATTATCAAGTAATATCAATGAATAAAATTTTATACTTTCATCTTTCATATTTATCTTACAAAGGAACATCTGGATCAATCTCATCAAAATCCAAAATGTAATTATTGTGATGAACAATTCGAATCAGTTAATCAACTGAATCAACATAAAGTATTTCAATGCTCAAAGATCATCGTCGAATGTTTATTAAAAAATTTCGGTTGCCATCAACAAGTTTATATCTTCTATAACATAGATTTTCAAATATATTTATCTTCGTATTTTATTTAGATTCTTCGTTGTGAATTGCAACATCATTATCAAAGTAAACAACATCAAAATTCAATACTAAATCTTATACAAGACATGATATTACAGTTAAGAGACGCTCGAATGCCATGTAATCAAATGGATACTGATATTCCGCAAACTACTATAACAATAGACAATGCTTTTGCTTTCAATCAGTTGAGCGAGCTTGAAGAAACTATCAGTATATTTTCAAACGGTACTGAAACATTGAATGAAGATATACAAAGAGTTAATACTAACTTACTTGAACATGAAGATAAACTACAACGTTTAATAGACAATGTTTCAAATTTGAAATTATCCGTTGAAGAAGAGAATTTTTTTTACGAAGGAACTGTACCAAATTTAGAAGTTCTAAATCAAGATTTGATGTCATTGGAAGCCAAGATTAATGATACGCAAGATGTATCTTATGATGGGATATTTGTATGGAAAATTTCAAAAGTTCAAGAGAAAATGAGTATGTAAAAGATTTTCCCCCAATTAGTTCAAGGTGAAACTATGTCATAATATGGCAATTACACTTTGAAGGCATCAATACATCATAAAATAAAATATTAATTTCTCTTTATGACAATATGAATTAGTGTGAAAACACACGAATGCAATTAATGAAAAGTTGAAGAATACAGTTAATGATTCCACTTTTCAGTTTTGTAATCGAACTGTAAAATTTCAAATCTTTTTCTTAATAATTTGTTCAAAATTATTGATTATGTTTGATATCTAGTGGATGCTCAATCAGAACGGCAACCATCGATTTATTCACCTCCATTTTATTCATCACCGATTGGCTACAAAATGCGACTCCGACTTTATCTGAATGGTGATGGCAATGCTCGACGGACACATATTTCATTATTTTTTGTTCTAATGCGTAGTCGAAATGATCCAATATTAAAATTTCCTTTCAATTATAAAGTGGCGTTTTGTTTATATGATCAAACTCCTCAACAGCGGCATATTATTGACTCATTTCGACCAGATATTCGATCGAGTAGTTTTCAGAGACCACAATCAGATATGAATATTGCTAGTGGTATACCTAAATTCTTTCCATTGACGCTGATTCAACAAGAAGGTAATCCGTATGTACGAGATGATACTATTTTTATTAAAGTAATGATTGATTTTGACCACCTGCCGAAAACATTATTACCGTTTGCATTGGGTCTTAATCCTGGACTGCCAACACATGTTCAACAACACATTATTAAACAAGAAATAGACAGAAGAACCTCAACTGTGAACTGCGAAGAAGCACCAAACAACAATTATATCAGTCAAACTTGAGAGGTATCTTGAAGTAAATGATTAGAAGAATATTTCATATTGTTTTTTTTTGTTTTATCGGATAGTTAAATCAAATATATTTTATTGTATTCAAACAATAATTTTTATATATGACACCTTGACGATTGAACAATAAGGATCTTTCTATCTCATTGGTATATAACATATATGGTTTTTCATTTAATTTCGCTCTTTATTTGATATTCTCGTAAATACATTATAAAAACAAGAAATAAAATAAAATTTGAATAAATCCATTCTTCTATATCATAACAAATTGTGCTATCGAATTGATGAATTTCTTTTATTAGATCAATTTAATATAAAAATTATTTTCAATTTTGATTTAAATATATAAGTCTTGAAAATAGAATCCAGCATCAGAATCGGAATCGATCCAAATTACAAAGGACTGTGAAAAACTCTTGTTTATTCTTGCCTGATATAAGATTTAGTTTTGAAAACTGTAACTCATAGTTAATAAATGATCAATTACGAGATATTCATACACTTTGACGTTATAGTACTCATCTGTACTATATGATGTTATAACATCGTCTGGAAATTATTTTCAAGGTTTAAGACATGGAAAAGAAACTTTATGTAGATCGTTAATGAGAGGTGGAGAAGCTATGATAAAAGAGTATAGGAGTTCTGTCGATTCATACATCCATATTCACATTCATACACGTTGATGATGAGAACAATTAGATATTAATTTATACTGCACTTGAAGAAAGCAATCGTGTCGAAAAATTATTTAAGATGATACATCAGGAAAACAAGTAAGTCGTAAGCTGTCCGAAATGTTCTGGCATGTAAATGGTTTTTCATTTATAGTTGCTCGACACACAAAAAAAATGATAACCTATTGATTTCTTTGATCTCTGGTCTCCATTTTTCTTTTCGACCTTTTAACATCATTCCTTCTGCAGCGATATTTTGACTTTTGCAATACTAGAATTTCATAAACACGATACATATATTGATAATTTTCTTTTTTCTATTAGTTTGTTCGATCACAATTGAATGAATACAAGTAGCTTTATTCTTTTAGTAATTAAAGACTTTCAAATTTATTTCTTCTATATGCGCTAAAACGAAGGATATTTTAGAAAAAAACAGAACTTGTTCACACACAGGACGCAGGTATAACATAGTTTAGTAGTTTCTTTGAATTAATATTGTCGTTGTTTAGCACAAAAACCAACTGTATGATTGTTGCACATATTTTCATAGCAACATAGATAATTTTTAGCGTCACACTTGAGATGTTTATCGAATGTTTCACCAAATCCAAAACCACCACGAGCAACAGCAACGCCAGTCTTCGGGTCAAATTTCTATCCATTCAATAAAAAAAAATCGGTTATAATATCCTAGTGAAAGAAAGAAAAAAATCGATATTTTTCTACCTACCGTATAACAGTAGAGATTCTTGGCACCAAAAAGGGATGAAGTACGAATTTCAGTTCCTTCAAGTCTTTCCGGTCTGCAAGCATCAGCACCTTTACATTGATAACAAGCTTTTACTTCATTCTTCGGTGTCATTTTAGCTATAAATTAAAAGAAAAATTGAATTATCTTTTTGGAACAAAACAAATAATCGAATCAATATTTACCCGGAGGTGGACAAGGTGCTTGTACATGTTTGTTACACAGATCTTCTTCGCAACATGTATGAAAACGATCTTGACATTTAATAGCTTTATCAAATGCTTCTCCAAATCCATAGGCAGCACGTTTAATAACGGCACCTGTTTCATCAAATTTCTGTACAAAGAAAAAAACGAATTGATATTTTATGTAATGTACTCACTCACTGGTCACGTGATCAAGGACACGTGACTGACTATCATCTAGTGGTTAAGTACTTTCTAGAACATTCTATAGTTTTCCAGTTATGATAGTTCTTTTGGTGTCTTGTTCTGGAATATTTTATGTTCAACACTACATACATATCTCGTGTATTTATTAGGCGCACGTCTAGTCAAATTATTCATTGTTTCTTCTATCCATTAATAAGCTCTTACAAATCACGATTTCTAATCGACATTGAACTCAGAGGGAAGATGTAATATTTTAATTATAATAAAGACAATCGGATAAAGAAAATTACCGTATAACATGTTAAAACAGCGGCACCAAATGCTTTTGAAGTTTTCGTAGCATATTTTTCAAACGGAATTCCATGACATCGTGTTATCTTTTCACCCCAAAATTTCCACCAAGGAGATGGACTTTTCTGGTCACATTGATAACAAATTTTGCTTCCATTAACATTTAACTGAACCACAGTTACTATAAATATGTTTTCAAATTATACATAAAGATTTTTTTCCATTTATTTACATTAGAACTTACAATAGAAAATAAGGACGAGAAGAAATTTAGATTCCATGTCTTACTGTAAATGAGAAAAGCTACTCGACACTAGACGCACAGATAGACAATAGTATAACAAAAAAAAGAGATAGCTGATATTTGGTTTCTCTGTTTTTCTTCCTTGTACAGAACGCGTTGATTGTCGTAAACATAAGATAAGCGTCAAGGTTTAAGTCATCAGCTATGTATTGAATATAGCATAGAGATATTAGTCAAGCGATGATATATATATATATATCTTTCTATTGATGGTCAAGAATGAAAGACAATATGATGATAGATCATAAATAACTTTTGCCATCCATGTATCATGCATACTCTATTTATCTTAGTAGTTTTTTTTTGTCAAGTTATCATCACATTGAGAAGAAAAACATGTATAAAATTGCAGATTAATTTTCGTATCTATCTTATCCTTTGTTTACAAAAATTTTCGATTATTTATAGACAAATTCTGTTTATCGTTTGATTAGTAAATTGAATCGATAATTGAACAGCAATCAATCGAAATCAATGCGATTTCAACTGCGTGTCAATCGTTTATGTTTTTGTTGAAATACCGAACGTCCGAATAGTCCGTTCCTAAATTTTTTTTAAATATCTGCACTATTTCATTTAACTTCAACAATCATTGTTTTTCAAATAATAGCTGAATACACCGTGTTTTTGTTTCCATAATGAGGCACACATGTTTTTCTGTAATCTTTGTTTTCTTATCAAATAGAATGAAAAAACAATCGATGAAGTCAATTCAGATAATTTGATTGATTGATGATTGATTCATACAAAGAAACAGATCGAATAAGCAGCATGCCTTATATTGCATATCCATATTAAGCCACCACAAAATTAGTGCGTTTATTGTAAACTTCACAGTAGTAGTACAAATATTATTTAAGTTCAATTATGATAATTGTGTTCGATAATCAGCACAACAATATATAAAATACTTAACATCTATCAAAGATCTGAATGATGTTAATCGAAATGTTTGTATTTCGATTAACGATTAAAACTTTGAAGAGCATTTTTGAAGTTTCCTTATAGAAATAAAAATTCCGTGTATTATTCAACTATAATTTGAAAAAAAAATGTTTCTGAAGTTAAATGAAACAGTGCATACATAGGAAAAATTTTTTAGGAAGGAACTTTTGGCACACTCGGTAAAACCAAAAGAATCGATTTTATTTGATTGGCTCGAATGAATGAGTTGTGACTGTGGTCATGTATATCGTACTTCGTGAAAATATTTAAATTGTTCCTTTTCTAGACAGAACACTCGAAATAACTTTCCGCACAATTTGCACCGAATCAAAATCTAAAACACTATCGAGAGTGTTTGTCTTCTTTTCATCTAAACAATATACTCAAATTCCGTATTTAGATAGATAAACAATTATATTGTAGATATCACGATGATGGTTATTAGTATGTTAATTTGACATCATCGACATACAATTTAGTTCTAACCTTCGGTGTCAATCAATATAAGAGCTTCTGTCTTTATATAGAGTACTCGCAAAAAAAACAAATACAAGCCATATATCTTTTAACTATTTAATAAAAAAACAAAGGATCAAAGATATAAAAAATAGTTATATATGACGTCAAATTTCTGGTAAATCTAGTAAGAGAAATGTATTTGATGATTTCATTATTGATAGAGCTCAGAATTAGAATAAATTGAATGATTATAATTGTTAATTTTCGCATTGATTACGATACATCAGACATGTTATTTTATCCTTTTTTGTGCTAAATACTGATCTATTTGTTAAGAATTATATAGAAACTGTACTCATTCATTTCATAGGACAATTTTTTTTTCTTTGAAGTTCCTGATCAAGTCAAAAATATAACTTTTTCAAATATCTATGATACATCATTGGATATAAGTTGATAAAAACTACTTGAAATCAATGGTCAATTAATTTAGTTTTGAACTTGAATAGTATCAAATGAATAATACACAATGGAATACAATTGATCGTTCAACAATTGAAATAGAACCTGAATTAACAACATATAAAATAAATAACAATCGAATCAGGTTATACATCTGAAATACCATCGCTGTCAACAAATTTGAAATTATTTCTATTGAAAAAACGTTTTGTAATGACAAAATTTTCTTGAAGTTATACCAGTAAGACCAACATATTACGATATATTGTTCGAATACAAATGAGAAGTAATCATTCACAATGAAAAACTATTGAAGTAAGGGATTTTTCTCAAAAAAAAACAACCCCAAATCATTCTTTTTTCTAGTCATTTAATATTGAACAAACTAAATTTATTGTACATGATTTACATTCTTATAAATTATATCGAATAGGTATGTCAACTGTTAATATTAAAGGAATAAGTAATACAAATATTCCAAGTACTATACGAGTTCGATGGATGGTAAGTTTTATTTCAATCAATAATTCAATAACGAATGATAAAAAAAAATTGAAAAACCCATTAAGAACAGAGTTTATATTTAATAATTTATCACCAGCAAATACACTATTTCTTATTAGATTGCATACTTTTAATAGTATTGATACGAGTCATAGTTCGATAAAACTATGAAAAAAAAAATATTTGAAAGTGGTTCATAGTAAATATATTAAAAATTCTTTTGTATTGGATTTTTTCAAGAAAATTTTCGTTCCTTATCATTCTTCATCAAATATCCGAATGGATTTCATTAATGGAACATCTGTACAAAAATTCATTGGGATGCATTAAAACCTACGGATCCAGGTGATTTTATTAGTAATTATACAGTAGAATTATTCTCCTGTCAAAATAAAAAATACTATTTATTGAACTATCGATTATTTATATTTTAAGTAATCTTAATATTTATTACTGATGAAAGTGATTTGTATTGAAGATTTGTTTTGTATATTTATTTTAGTAATTCAATTTTCTAGTTTCATTAAAACTAACTGAAATTTTCTTTCTGAATGTTGATCATTGGTCAGAAATAATGACATGACAACAGCCAAGAAAACTAAATGAAATTCTAATTGGTTATCGACTTGTATACTAGCATTTAGATGATGAAGGTACAGCAATCTTACATAGAAATACAATGCAACACATGATGAAACTGCTAGTATTGTAAAAAGAAGAAATTCATCTACATTCATTTCAATTAGTAAATTCCTATTTAATGTTAAAGGATGTTGATGATGAAAAATAAAACTTGTTATGTATTACGGTCACTATGAAAGGAAAGCAACGCTCTTGATTGCAAAATTCTGTTTCTTACTAATATTCTGCAATGGACTTCGGTCACGTGGGGACCCCTAATATTGTTTCACTAAAAAGTTTTACAATGATAATCGTATTTTGTCTATACAGAATAAGTGGTTGAAAAAGTATATGGAGATGATCTCGAAGTTTTAAAACGCAGTAACTTGCAGCGTTACACATGTAAGAATTGGTAACGTTAAATTTGTTAAGATCGGAATTAGCATTAAATGTAGATTTCTTATGCAGATTGTTGAATCGAATGTATCTTATGATAAACTATGTATGTCTTCGTTTGTTGTTTATCAAATTAATTGTTTATTTTTAAATCCTTTATTTAGCTATTCGTTAAAAAGTGAAGAGATAAATGTATTATTTGTCATCAAAAATATATACAGGGTGGTAAATAATATTATTCCAGGGGGGTAACACTATGATCTCGAATCGGAGATATCATGAATTTTATACCAAATGAAAGCTCGTGAAAAATGGGGTTTAGTGATAGTAAATAGTAAGACTTTGAAGAACTTTCTTGTATTAATTTATCAAACGTTACGATTTTTATCGACATAAAATATTATAAAATCAGTTCATCGAAAAAGTTCGGGGCTAAACTATATGTTGTACAACTGTTTATTTTCTTATTATTTATTGAGTACAATCAATAATCAGTATGACGACCATTAGCACTCTTTACTGCACGAAGTCGAGATGGATACGAACATAAAAGAGCTTCAAACAATTCGGTATTTTCTTCCATGTCCGTCAAAACATCCGCAATGTGCTTTTTAAGTGTGTCTTCACTATATCGATTATGTCCAGTTTCCGATAACATTTTTTGTTCAACTTCATCTTTCATTATTGATCCAATATGTTCCGCCGCATTGAGATCGGGCGAATTACCAGGCCAAATATCATTGCCCCAAAACTCGATTTTGTTATCTCTAATCAGATGTTGAGTCATGTTTGCTCGCATACACGGTGCTTTATCGTGAACAAATATCACACTATCCAGATCAATTACGTTTTCCTCGTCGGTGAGGAATGGAAATACGTGTTGCATTAAAATAATGTCACGAAAATATTGACCGGTCCAAGATTCACCTTTGTCTTTAATCACCCAATGCATTTTTTTTCGCGGTGAAAATGATAAAAATACCGATACACGCTTGGTTTTTAACCATTTCGCGATACCTTTCATCGTCTTCAATATCTTCAACACTTTTTGCCCAAATCCTATCATTTTGATAATTTGGTTTGCGAACTGTCCAAACATAAAATTCATCTGATGGTGCCAGATGAAGAAAATCTTCTTCAGTCCAATCTTTCAACCAATCACAGAGCCATAATCGATCTGATATATGAGTTTCAGATTTTAACGGTCTTGAAATAACATGAAAAGGCTTTAATCCTTCCCTACGACGGTAGTTATTAACTGTTTGTCGAGTAACATATTCTTTTTGTTTCTTTGCAATCTCTTTCGCCACGACAGAACCGCTTTTCCGTTGGTGACCACTTGCTTCACGAATAATGTCCTGAGCAGCTCTCGATAACTTGAGTTTAGGACCAGCATTCGAATAATCAGCAAAACATTGGTCACACGATTTTTCCCACCATTCTGTAACAAATCGAGTCGTACGGTGAATTTTGTCGGCAATCCATTGTCTATTTATAAATGTTGCACCAGCATCACGAGCTTCTCGGAAAGTAATGCATTTAATTCTATCAATCATTCTTTGTTGTTCGGTATCATAAGCGCCAGCCATTTGAAATAACAAACGAAAAAACACTGAGATTTCACTCGACTATAACTTTCAGACAGTCCGAGAACGAAAAAATTTTTCAAATAACTAGTATCACGTGGAGAGAAGAACAGAACGCCAAAGAACCATCTTATTGTGTGAGTCATAGTCATATATCATCATCGTTATCATTTCTCTTTCGTTTTCATAAAAAATGTTCGTTTTCAATGTCTCAAAATGTATGAAAAATGATTTTTAACGTGTTTTTGAAAGAAAATTTCGTTGTTTTTAAAAATTTGGTACACGAAAGTTCTTCAAAGTCTTACTATTTACTATCACTAAACCCCATTTTTCACGGGCTTTCATTTGGTATAAAATTCATGATATCTCCGATTCGAGATCATAGTGTTACCCCCCTGGAATAATATTATTTACCACCCTGTACTACATATTGCAGTTCAACATTAAAACACGATGAATCAAATTAGAAAAAGATTTTATAATATTATCAAATGAATTTAAGTTATTAATAATGAATATAGATATGTACTGAGAGATATGTTTTACTTTGAAATGAAAGATTATTGAGTTCAATCCCTCATTTCTCCAAGAAGAGTACACTGTTATCAATACCGAGAGTTTAATATCATTGTAAGTTCATATAAATAAGAGTATGATAGTGAGATATTAGTTCTAAATACAAGAACTTTCGAAAAGTCCATCCGAATTTTTGATTTTGAATTATCTGAGCTCTAGAAATAGAAGAGTACATTAAACTTGAAAATATTTTATTTTAAAGTAAACCTTTCCAAGCAACAGAAGATCTACTTGAATGAACGATACATCGGATATAATCGAAGATTCTCGTTAATTAATTAATTTTTAGCAAAATTAAAACGTTAATTAGTACATTTACATCGTAATATCTGAAGTGAAAATCTTAAAGGACTAAGTTCAACACGATATTTGGCCTTTTAAAACTCTAAAACTCTCTTTCTAAATCCTTAGAAATTGCTTTTGATTTGTTTTTTGAAAAATCTTTTAAATTAAAAATTATGAAAATAAACAGGATGTAAGAGAGGATCTGAGTTCTGTCATTGTAAGAAAAGATTTAACAAGCCTTTTCTCTCATTTTTCATATATGCGCTTTTCTGTTTATAATACCATGCATCCATCTTCACTTACAAAATCTTCTCTTACTATTTGATTGTTGATGCATTCAAACCAATAAAAAACTTCGAGATCATTTGGGATGTGGATTTGTGGGTATGAGTGTAAAAGAGAAGAGTAACAACACTTATACTCACACCCATTTTTCAAGTTATTAGTTGTAATTCCATACATGATGCTAAATACTTTTCTTGTTAGAGTTGACTTTTTTCATCAACGATTACCAAGTATAATAATAAATTTAACTAAAAAGTGTTGCAAGACATACGTTAGTGGACTCTTTCTTACAGAATCTTCGATGAGTCTCCTGAAAATTGAAAAATCTTTAGTGCATTCCCAGGAACTTCCGAGTAACTTCTTGAGAAATCTCCGAAGAGTCCCTGATTTTCAAAGAGTACTAATAAAAATATAAACTTCAAGGGAGTCTCCAGGGACTTGCTGGGACATTTATGAGGGAGCTCATAATCTGAATATTTCCAACTCAACTGCAATGTGACTAGAAAAGAAGATAGAAAGAATGAAGCGATAAACGATAAACTAATCAACAATACATAATCACTGAAGGAAAGAGGGATACATAAGAAATGATACATAAATGATAACACATTAAGAACAAACAAACGGTGGAAGCAGGGGATGAAAGAAGAAAGCGATACATCAAGCATAAACAGTGAACGTCACGAAAGTCTATTTTATTTTATATTTTAGATTGATCATAAGAACAATCATAATGATGAGTATTAGATTAAGAAAATGAATGTTTTTTTTTTTGTTTATATTAATTTTCACAACGACGTCGACTGTAAGTACTATTTTGAAAGATAAATTATAGTTTTTTTTTTAATTAGATCAATTATAGGAACAGCTGTAAAAGTGAGTATTATTTTCCAAAAAATGATTCATCTCTTTTTTTTATTCAGATTGGTTCCAACGATTTTGACAATAAATATTATGTAACCAAATAAAATCTGTTTTATTTATTCAGATTAATCTCAACAACAACGACCAAACTACGTATTATTTTTAAAAGAATTTGCAGAGAAACAAAATACGCTGTTCTAACGGCAGTAAACAGTAGCAATATAATGCCATACGGTTGTATTGCTTCAAGTGCGACAGATTAATACAGACTGTTTAAGGTAGTTTACTGCCCGAAAACGGTCTGTAAACGATATCCATTTTGATCGATCTGAGCCGAGTTAGTTCTAGAATGCTACACTAAAACCGGATATTATTATCACAAAAGAACTAAATAATTGAGCAGAAAACAGAAATATAGACGATAGTATTAATGAAGATGTGTTTTGATTTTGTCAGTAAAATTCAATTCGACAAATACAATGATTTTTATTTGTAATTTCAAGAATTTTCGCCACTAAATCAGCTACATTTACTTCAATTGAACTTTTCTTATTTATACCAAATTCTAATAAAGAAATTTGTTTTAAAGGCGGATGAGTCTTGACAAAAGCAAATAATGCAGGTAAACTTTTTTTCACTGATTCGATTACTTTTGAATTCTAATTGAGACAACGAATTTGATAATGACGAGAGAATTGCTTGAAAACCAAGGTCACCAATTTCACTTTCTTCTGCTGTGAAACTTTGTGGAACTTGATTACTCTTTAAATAGTTAGCCAACATGATGCAACCTTCGTCGCTAAGCGAAGTTCTGTACAGATTGACATGTCTGATTTTGTTGTTGTTTTCAAGAAGTTTGCCTAACTTGTTGAGAGCTTCGAAATCCATTCTCATGATTTCTAATTCGTTAATAGATTTGTTTTCTTTCAACATTCGCAATATTTCGATTTCAATTGATGTATCCGGAAGATAATTGATAATTATCAAACTCGTCAATCGACACTGTTTACCAAATAGAATTTCAAAATAATTCAAATAATTTCGATTAAATTCGTCACAAAGATGCAAATTCAGTTTGCGATAAGTCGTATCATCTTTGGTTAATGCCGTAGCCACCAAGGATCAATCAGTGTCATCCAGTTTTTCCGATTCTAATTTTAGATAGTATTTCTTGCGCAACAATTCTCCTAGTAGACTGCTATTCGATACAATTTTAACTGTGGATAACGATGAGGATTCTTGTTGTTGGAAATATTGAGTTGTCAGATTGTTATCGAGAATCATTTCTTTGAGATTTTCTCCATTTGATTGAAGATAAGAACATATAGTAGGAATGTTTTCACCTGTAATATTGTTTTCAGCTAAATCAAGATGAACGAGAGTCTTTGGCAAAGATCGTACAAGAACTTCGAAGCTCTTATCATCAATTTTATTAATTTTGAGCCATTCGAGAGCACTTGCTTGTAGAGAACAAACCAACTCGACAACACATTCAGAGTTAATTGGATCAATCCAAGATTCTCTGAAATATATAGAACAAAATATATTATAGAAGAATACACTGGTCTATGGAAGATTGATCTACCCCTTTTCAAATTGAAAATCACCGTAGACTCTCATGTTAAGAGAAAGTAATGTTTGGTTATTCGTCAACATTTGTGAGAACACACACGCTGTTTCTAAATCAAACCGCCTTGAGCTTATCGATAAATATTTGATGGAGCGATTGTCTTTGAGTGATTTCAATGAAACAATCATATTTTCATCCTTTGAATAATTATAACTATGATACGTGAACTCGACCAATGTTTTATGAGATCCAAAAGCTTCCGTCAATTTAGTAAAGCTAGGTTTGATTGATTTACTGTTGTAGTGAATACCACTATCCCATTCTAATGTTAACTTTCGTAACGGATGCTCTTTATTATTTACTTCTTCGAGTACAATCTGCCAATCGGCATCCTCCATTTTGTCAGCTTGCAATTACATCTCAGTACCATCGTCTATATATTTCTTTTTTATAGTTTGTCTTCGAATCAGCTAAATAAAAAAATCAAATTTAACATCTAATCATGTTTTGAAGAAAGCTTCGATAGTTGGTACTAGAAATCCGCCAAACTCTACTTAATCTTTGCTACAAAGTGACAGAATTTGGTTCATTTCATAGTTCATATCCTCAACTCTTAAACATATGGTCATCGTGACATGTTTCCTATCGACATATTCTCTTTTTTTACATTTCGAAAGGAAAAGAATTGAACGCTTGAGATCTTTGAAAAAGCCATTTTTTAGTCCTAGACATGTTTCTGATATTAAGTGTGCACTTCATATATAAATGTAAGCATACGCGAAAAAGTATACCTTGCAGTAACGAAGCCATCTGTCATGATCATCATTCGTATCACCTGCCATAGATTGATGATTCTTCACTTCAGATAGTTAAAAACGTTGCTTACCAGCCTCGTCTCGATCAACCAGTGTAACAGACATTTTTCTTCTTATGTTCAAAAAGAGAACGAGAAAATCATGTGACGACAAGTATGGACAGGAAAAAATCACGATAAACGTTGTAAGACAATATCTTTTCAAGCTAATCTTTCAAAGAAAAAGAAATACAAAATCATCGAGCCATGACAAGCAAAATACGATGATAATTGTATATATAGGCGAAAATTGCTTTTTATGCGTTTTATACACAAGAAGGATGAGAATACGACATTTTGAATATTCTTGCCTACAATTCAATCACAACAGAGATGGTTAATTTTCGGAATACAGCTGGGGATATCTATTAAGCATTTTTTTTTGGACAAATATCAGATGACTTTTCTTGTTTACATGTGAGTGCAAAATACAAAAGAGTAATCGACAATTAGGGGTAATCCTTTAGTATTACTTTATCAAATAAAGATAAAACAATGAAAAGAAAATTATCATTTATTTTTTAAAAATAAAGATAAATTAAGGAATAAAGAATACTTTTACAAGAGATA